GCTTATGGTACCAGGGGTTTGTTCCCCCCACGTACATTTCATTCTGTCTTTCTGATGTTTTTTGTTTCCCCACGTACATTCATTCTGTCTTTCTGATGTTTAACTTCAGGTCATACAGCTCTAGCCTGTTTTTTCAGTTCTGTATTTCGTTTTGTAGTTCTTTTCTGGTATTTGCAAGACCACATCATCTGCGTAGAGAAGTGTTCAAAAAGGTTCACGTCTGAACGATTCCATCACGGCGTTCACCACAGTGATGAAGAGCAAGGGAGAGAAAACTGATTCTTGGTGTACTCCAACCCTTAATTCAGAATCCTTTTGATTGCCCTGCAGGTGTTTGCACGTGGCTTGAAGCATTGTGGTAGATCAACTTTATCCACTGGACGTAATTCTCTGGTTATTGGATGTTTTCGTAAGGTCCACCGTTTGACCTCATGGGGTATCTTATCGAAGGCTTTTTCCAGAACCAAGAAGGCTGCACGCAATTCATTCTGCTTGTCTCCATATTTATCCATCACTATCCGAACGGAGTAGATTGCTTCTATCGTAGCTACTCTTTTCACGAATTTCCATACTTTTGTGGATCTCACATTCCTTCTCATGCGGTATATCTCACGTCCTCTCTCTAAACTTTAGACGATCGTTGAGCTCTTTCAAGTACACCTGTTCGCAGCGTGTTTGGCTGGTTATGTTTGGCGATCGCCCTCCGATTTCATTTTATGCCATCGTTTGTACACAATCCTCCTCTGTTTTATGGCTTTTTGCACCTCGCCGTTTCAACACCACCCTTCTCGGTTATCCTCCTTTTTCCTGGCTCTGTGCTTCCCAGGACCAGGGCCGGTAGTAAACCCCTGTACCTGGCGGCAAGTCTTGTCGGCAGGTCGCTGGCACCTTTCCGTGGGTGGCCAGGAACTAAAACCCCGAATTTTGGCCGTCTCAGGCCTTTTTCCAAAAAAAATTTTCTCGATGAAGATGCCACCTCGACCCTATAGAAACCTCCATTAAAATTTGCGGTTTCAGAAGTCCCCTTATAGGAAAATATCCGGAAGCGCAGGAGGAGCTGCCGGCAACTTCGCGAGGTCAGTTGCCGGCAATGCCGGCAGTGGCCGTATTCATCAACGAACCCTGAGGGTTAGACTTACCCTCCAGGGTTATTTCAACTCTCAGGATTCATTGGCCTAGTCATCAATCATAGGTTAGGGTTTACCACGGAACGCGATCCACCCGTATCGATCAACGAACCAACCTGTGGCCGTATTCATCAACGAACCCTGAAGGTTAAACTAACCCTGGAGGGATAAGGCGTCAGTTGCGCGTGCGCTGTGCAAACTCACATCACAGAATGCCTAAGTACGTGCTAAATTCACTTTATACTTCTATTCTTTCACTGTTGCAATAGTATAATCAACGGAATAAGCTTCTAACACTAGTTTTTATAATACATCTCTAGCGTATTTGTGCAGCATCCAATCTTACAGCGCGAGTTTAATTTTGCAAATGTGCCGTGTAAGTTCTACTTTTGCGCAGTTCGTTTCAAACCGGGCTTGTGCTACCTTTTAAAGGTCAATGCGTGTTATCATAAAGGGGTTCTTCTGTTTTGGGACTTGTCAGGGTGGAATGCGCAACCATTTTTCCTCGTCGCATTCATTTGTCACCAAGCTAGAATTCCTTTTCTCGCGAAGTCAGTGTTTCATGTACTTCGAATTTGAACATAAAACAGTCGAAACTAAATACTATAACAACAACTATTACTAAATACTACGTTGCTCGTTGATCGTTTTCCATAAAACTATTAGATGTGAGTAAATGTTTGTATGAAGTGTTAGGGTAGAGTTAACCTTGCTCTGAGCTAGGATAAAATTATTCCTGATGAATCACGTAAGTTTTACCCTCCAGGGTTAGTGTAACCCTCGGGGTTCGTTGATGAATACGGCCACAGGTCAGAAAGCTCGAGAAATGACTGCTCTTTTGAGAGAAAGCTGCCGGCATCTCGGAGTGCGCCTACCACGTCGAGATAGGAGCACCTTTGCCGACGGCGTCTGTGAGTTTTGCGAATTGCGGCGATATCACACAATTTACGTCTGTCGAAAAAATAAAAAATTCTACTTTCCATTATCAAAAAACTATCATTTTTTCAGTATATGAGTTTTTCGTTCAACGACGATTTTCTTACAGAGAAAAAATCTAATAATGCCTTAGAACCATAATGAGCGGCATCTTTTTTGGCAATCTCTTCTACCAGGTAGGGTAGATTACTACCGGCCCAGGTGTGCCACCTCGTGGACTCGATCTTCTAAGCTCGCCCAGGATCTCTCTGAGTTCTCTTGCGAGCTTGGTAGAGTTGTTAGCAATGCTTGTATCGCCGCGTTGTCCGTTTTCGATCTCTACTATTGAATGCGTGTCATGGTCTCTGTGGCTCTCCTGATGTGCCTGCTATTTTGATGTCGAGATTGTTATTTTGATGTCGAGAATTATTGGTCCATGTTGAGGTATGCAGCTCTCACTGGAGATGACTCTGCGATCCTTTACGTTTTGAGGTCACGCTGTCGGACAGCCCAGAAAAATTTACCTGTTCGTCGGTCGCCACTGGCGTATATTATGAGGTAATCATCCTTCTTGATGTAGTACGTGTTTGCCAGTGACGTACCCAGGATTTCCGCTCGGGGGGGGGGGACAAAAATTTTCGGATAAAGGTGCGTGGCGTTAGCTACACACTCCGAAAATTTTTTTGGGATGCTTTCCAAAATTCTTGCGGCCCCTGACTGGCGGCAGCCACGCCCCCGACAAAAATTTTTTATAAGGTTAATATGGATTTTTAAAATTTTTTTGAAATTTCAATTATTTGTAAGTAAAAACAAGTCGCTTGCACATTTTTATAACACACTTGAGTAACTTTCAAAAATTTTGCGACCCATTCTCTGAGGAAGGCCCCCCCCCTCTCCCTCCCCCTCCCCCTTCTCAGTACGCCACTGGTGTTCGCCAAGACCAGATCATGGGCTGAGGCAAATTCCAGAATGCGCTCATCTCATTGCATGTTCCGTATCCGTGAACTCTTCCCAGCTTCTCCTCGCCTTATCCTACATGTCCGTTGAGGTCCCAGGTAAAACTGAACTGATATGGTCATCCAGCCCCTGCCAGAACGCGTCTTTTTCATCATTCTTGCATCCAACTTTTGGCGCATAGGCGGTGATTACTCGTAAGGCCTGTTTTGCAGTATCTATCTTAATGCTCATCAGACTCGCTTATGCACGCAACGTCAACTATATTGCTCCTTCCCCCTTCTTGTTAGAGTCTCCGAAACAGCTATACCAACCCCATTTCTGGTGCAGGTGGCACCGTTGTAGCGGAGCTTATATCCATTTCCGAGGTCGCGTGATTTTGCCCCGCTCCACTTTGTTTCCTGTATATAGGCTACATCGATTCGCCGTCTTTTCAAAAGATTTGCTAACTTTCGAGAGCGAGAGATGAGTGTACCCATAGTGATGGGAGCTGGACGGAGGGTCTACGATGCCTTGATTGTTGGGTGAACTAGCCGCTTTTGCCGTCCTCGTTCACCTTGCTAAGACGGTAATCCTCGCCCACTATTCGCATTTGTCGGGCTCAAATGCGCGTCGCTTTGGGGGAACGCCCTAGTCTTTACTTGGATGCTTTATGAAACATGTCTGCATTCATGATGCGACGGGGTGTTGCTCAGCAGGTTTTTCGCATGCCCTCCTTGAGAAGGACAGCCTGACGCTAGAATTGTAAGCAGAATTTTTGCCGCAGAAATTAGGCTCAGAGTGGAATCGAACCCGTAATCTCCAGCATGGCAATGTTACGTAGAGCACTAAACACTAGACTAACTCTGCTAATAAAAAACTATGCAGAAAACATAAGCAGGAGATGGTGCCATGGGAGCACACTTCCATAGTCTACCTACTTATTATCGATCAATATCTTCTCTATTTCTTACAAGGAGAGGATATTTAGTCGAAAGCACCAATCCAGACGAGACATATATCTTCTTAAAGCGCTTGAAACGCTGATTCCAAATCTGTAGTTTTTAGCAGCGGAGCGGTTTTGTGGAGGGAGTTGTGAGGGGTGTTTCCTTTTGGGGTTGAGGCGCCCTCCAGCAGGTCTCCCCCTATCTATGAGCACTGCAGAGGAGTACCAAATGTTGGCAACTGGCCTAGTGGTAAGTGACTTGATAAGGAGAGTGTCGAGGTTTCAATTCTTTTCGCATGCCACTTTATCGCAATTTTTGCAAAATTGAGCCTCGAAATGTCCTTAGAGCCCTAAAGCGTGAAATTTTTGACGATATTGGTGCTAATCGAAGTTAGAAATGTCAAACCAAAGTAATACGATAATCCTTATTGTAATCTTCATTCAAATTACTTACCACTAGGCCAGTTGCCACCAGTGGGTACTCCTCTACAGTGCTCATAGATAAGGGAAGACCTGCTGGAGGGCGCCCCTCAACCCCAAAAGGAAACACCCCTCACAACTCCTTCCACAAAACCGCTCCGCTGCTAAATACTACAGATTTGGAATCAGCGTTTCAAGCGCTTAAAGAAGATATATGTCTCATCTGGATTGGTGCTTTCGACTAAGTATCCTCTCCTTGTTAAAAACAAAAGGTATTTCTTTCTTTTCAGGAAACGGTTACGTATGTGAAGGAGTAAAATTACGATACGTTGCAAACGTTGAAACTCCACAGAAATTCTACAACTGGCAATGAACCTTTTCCATACAAGTCATCATTCATCTATCCTCTCACTATTCAGCAACAAATTGTAGTGTGCACTCTTTTCAAAAGGACTTCGTATTCAAGAACTCAATGAGATAATCGACATTTGCTCATCTTTTATTGGCCCCTCATACAGATTTCCCTCTCTCTCTTTCATTTTCTCTTCTCTCTCTCTCTCTTTCTCTCTCTCTCTCTCTCTCTCTCTCTCTCTCTCTCTTGTACACACGATTCATCTCAAAAACTTTTATCAGCACAGTATTACCCAAATACAATTTTCAGGAGTTCGACAATGATGACAGATTTGAAATCTTTGAAGAGTTTGAAGCTATATCAAATTCTCATGAGTAAGCTATTTCACAATTCGTCGTGTTCACTATAGAGAACATGAGCAAGCTGAGTTTTACAGTGTAAAGCAAATGGTATGCTGACAGTAAGCACAATTTATGGGAAATCCCCCGACATTGCTACTTCTTCATGACCGCCATATCATTACTATCTGCCAAAGTACATTGAAAATCGCTTGGAGGCAGGTCCGAGCACGTACGGCGAGTACGAGAAAAACGTGAAGTGCAATAGCGCCTGTCCCGATTATGCCCTTGCCCAAGTGGCATTCTACCATTTACTTCTGATGCAAGAAAACCTCTTAGGAAACAAACTGTTGCAAATGGACGACAACTTTATTTTCCAGATTTGGTGTTCATCTACTATTCCACACGTTATCGTTAGCACTCAACCACAAAATCAACGTGTGCAAGTCTGTTTGATGAAGCATAAACGTCCGTAATCTGTTAAATCGGAGCGAATGACTGTGCCGTTTTTAGCTTTCAAAAGGATAAATGCAAGAAAGAAGGCCGACGTTTTGAAAACCTAAATTTCGGAACTAATTGCTCTCATAGTCATTAAAATAACTGCCCAAGTTTCGAACCCATATATTTTACCATTTATCGTACAAAAATTTCATTTTAACTTTTAGAAATGCTTCCGTAGTAGTTGGATAGCGATAATAAAATGCAATGAATGCGTTTTTTGGCATCTATAGCTAGCTTTGAAAAATGTGGAAATTAAAAATTCATAAAAATTCAAAAAATTGAATCATTTTTTGATGCTACCAAATTTCATACTTGCCAACCAAATATCATAAAACTGAAAGCTACTTTTGTCTCGTTTGACTTTTTTCTCGTTTTACAGGTGCTTTTTCTTCCTCTGCAAAGGCTTCGGAAATAAATTATCGCCATTTTTGAAGCCCCCCGAAGCTGTACGAGGAAAAATCAAAGCATGTAAAAGTGGCAAGCGCCCGTTTGCTTTGTAAACTCAGTGTCGTATTATAATCTACTAATCTACTTCGAAATGTAGTTTTTAATACCGAAGATTCAATTAATGTTCAAGGCGTTCGGGTACGACACGCCAGCGGAAAAAGTGGAGACTCTCAAAAGACTGTCCTAAAAGTTCTGGAAAGATTAAAAAAGCTCCAAAAAATGCTATATGTTTGCTTTATATAATTGCAGCAGCTCTTGTATGAGTTCAAATTAGAAACATGAAGAAGGTGCTGCAGTGGGAATGGCAAAAAACTTGGGAAATCATTTTGTGACCAGTAACTGCTCGAAAATAACTGCCGAAAAAAACATAAGAGCTGCGTTGAAGAGTATTTCTATTCCTTACCTACCTTCAACGCATTGTTTATTTTATTTTGTTCAAAAATTTTGTCAATTCTTTGAATTAACAGGCAAATATGGTAGAATAAAGGTAAGCATACAATTCGAACTAGTTTGATGCAGTTTCTTTCCCTTTCATGCTGCTATACCAAATTGTGATTTGTTAGGATTATGGTGTTATCCAATTTTTGTCAATTTTCAAAATTTTTATTCGAGATTTGAGAGGTTAGCTTTGGTAGCCAACAGGTATTGCAAACGTTTCGTCCTGAAGCATTTTTTTTAACTGTATGGCATGCAGGCGGCATACTTTATGACTAACAAACGAAAGGGTCGTGTACAATCAAAAAGCAGTATGACACTATACTGGATGTGCGCATGGGTCGGAGAGAACTACAGCTATGGCCCAAAATTTTATCGAACCTTACGTGAGTAAAAGCCGCACCCCACTTTTTTCGAATTAACTGAAACCATTCCAGTTAGGTTCCAGCTGACAAGGGAACCATGTTTAGTCGAAGTGGCATTTTGAATGGAATGTGTACCATATTGATCATAAAAGGCTGATACCAGATCTGCCTTTTCATGTGCAAACGTTTATGGATGAAAAGTTATAAGGTTTTATTAGATGAAAAATTGCACGTGCAAATAGCACAAAAATTGTCGTAATATTTTTCCTAGCTCTTTATTGGAGCAATGATAATTATTGGAGCACTTCATTCAGCCGATACTTTTATTCAAAAAATATATTATACTTGAAGATTTTAGCAACACATTTTATCTTGAGTGCACTTTTTCCTTTTTGCTTCAAGAAACGCACATGACTTCTCGTCCTTCCTTATCCTAAGGCAGATTTAAAACCAGTTTATGCTCTTAATGGTACACGTCCCGTCTCAAAATACCACTTCAAGTGAAGGTTCTCTCCTTGTGAGCTGGAACCGACCTTTTGTTCACCTAATGTTTTATACTACCTTCACAGGAGTATTCATATAACCAAAAAACGTTTTCATAAAGGATTCTCTGTGCTTTTTATAGACCTCGTATAATTTTCACTGGCGCGCAATCTGCTCCGCAAGCTCGTTGCTAAGAAAACCACGTTTAGTGTCGGTATGATTGCCTTTTGATACTTTTCTTTCTCATGTTTTTCTTTATCATACACTAGCTGGCGTCTCCGGCATCTCCCAAAGAACGCTCTCAGTTGATCCGTGGTCTTGTGTGTGAGAATAAACTTATCTGCTATTTGACCCTTGAGTCACCGCATCCTCCTCATCGCGAAGTAAAAATAAACCTTACCGCTCATGACTACATGATCATGGGGATGTTTGGTCATAAGATAAGTTACCGCAAACAAATCATAAAATTAAGAGAGCTCCGATAAACCTCCTTCAAGGGTAGCCTATAAAAATCTTCGGTGTCCTTTATGTGTGCAAAGTTGCAGCTCGATTGGTGAACACACAACGCCGTCTATTAGGGTGTCCCATAATTATTTACCGTTTTTACCTTAAACAACAGCATTTCTCGAGAACTGAGGCACCTTCAAAATAATACATGATCGTACTTCTGTTTGTATGAGCTATATAATCACGTGTGTGGGAGGAGCTCAGGACTTCTGAGGGCGGAGTTCGCCATTTTACCTCATTCATTTTTTTCTTTACTTCTAGCCACGGAATAATTTCGAAAAATTTGCAATCAAATGTGCGATGTGTCAAGCATGTGCCAGAATGAATTTGGAATTTTTTAGATACTTTGGGGCGGAGATACGATTTTTGACAGAAAAGTTTGTTTTCCACTACTACCATATTTCAGCTCAATACTTTACGTGGCAGCCATCTTGTAGAGCTTTCTTGCCCTATCGAATGGTTACTCAAGCCGCATCAGATGAAGGATAGATACAAAAAAACGACCGTCGAAGTAAAAACGGTAAATAATCATGGGACAACCTAATATTATGACTTACTAGCTGGCTTACCCGGCTCCGCCGTATCCGGACCAAACTTGGCACACATACACTTCGGGCCCCGGCGCGTGTCACAGTCCACTTTTCGTTATCGATCGATGTCGATTTTACCGATTTTTATCGATTTTTTCGCAGAGTTCACCTACAGGGCTAGGAGTTGGCACAGGGGGGAAGTGAGCATGGGGATTCCGAATACAATATTAGTTTTCAGAATTATCGGTTACTTTTATTGATTTTATCGATTTTTTGTAAATTTTGACATGCGAGGCTGGGATTTTGCACAGGGGGTAATCGAGCATGCTGATTACGAACACAATATTAGTTTTCAGGATCGTCCATTACTTTTATCGATTTTATCGATTTTTTTGTAAAGTTTGACCTGCGGGGCTGGGAGTTTGCACAGGGGGGTAATCGAGCATGCAGATTACGAATACAATATTAGTTTTTGGAATTATCCATTACTTCTATCGATTTTATCGATTTTGCAAAATTTGAGCTAGGGGGATGGAATTTGGCACAGGGGTGTAATCGAGCATGCTGATCACCCCCTTGGGGATGATCAGCATGCTCGATTACTCCCCTGTGCCAACTCCCAGCCCCCTAGCTCAAACTTTGCAAAAAATCGATAAAATCGATAAAAGTAATCGATAATCCCGAAAACCAATATTGTATTCGGAATCCCCATGCTCGATTACCCCCCTGTGCGAACTCCCAGCCCCGTAGCTCAAACTTTGCAAAAAAATCGATAAAATCGATAAAAGTAATCGATAATCCTGAAAACCAATATTGTATTCGGAATCCCCATGCTCGATTACCCCCCTGTGCCAACTCCCAGCCCCGTAGCTCAAACTTTGCAAAAAAATCGATAAAATCGATAAAAGTAATCGATAATCCTGAAAACCAATATTGTATTCGGAATCCCCATGCTCGATTACCCCCCTGTGCCAACTCCCAGCCCCGTAGGTGAACTCAGCAAAAAAATCGATAAAAATCGATAAAATCGATATCGATCGATGACGAAAAGTAGCCTATGACACCCGCCGGGGCCCGAAGTGTATGTGTGCCAAGTTTGGTCCCGATCGGTTCAGAAATGGAATTTTCTATTCGGAACATACGTACACACATACATACAGACAGACAGACATACAGACAAACAGACATTCAGCTTTATATATAAGATAATAAGCCGCTTATTTGTCGGTCTGTAAGCCTGTCTGTTACGAAAATACAGTGAGGAATGATTTACAACTTTTTGGAGCATGTGAGGTTCTGATAGCGAATATGGTTCATTTTTAATTAGGACTCTCTCACCGCAATCAACCTGGCAATAATTTAAAAGAAAGCCTTCACATCGTAAGATTACCATCGCTTCTTGATGGCCAGTGCGAGCCTCTGCGAAACAGAGGTGAAGCACTGGTATTACATATTAGGTTGTCCCGAAAGTTTTGTCCGTTTTTTCAAACCACTATAAAACACGCACAATAAAGATCTGAATGAGTTTTAACATGCATTCGATGCAGATTTTCCTTCTCTTTCTTAAAGGCAGCATCCAGGCAGATCTGGACCTCTGGGGTTTACGTGAAAAGTACTTTTGGGGCCCTAACTAAGGCACTGCCCAAGCGGCAGCGCAGGTAGTGCTCTAACGGCTGAGATATTCCCCTCGAAACTGGACCCCGCGATCGTAATTCGCATGGATTCATGGCGCAAAGCGTTAATCCTGGCACGAAACTGCCAAGAACCCATGCGAATACGATCGCAGGGTCCAGTTTCGAGGGGAATATCTCAACCGTTAGAGCACTATTTACGCTGCCGGTTGGGTAGTGGCTTAGCTAGGGCCCCAAAATTACTATCTATGTGAGATCCGCATGTGTCCAGACTTGCCTGGACGCTGCCTTTAAGGACACATTTCCGGACCACAATCTTGTGTGCTTTGTAATTGCCAAAATTCTCCACCTGTCAATTTTATCTGCTCAGAGTTGGGCTAATCATAACGGACTGGATACACGTCCCTCGACTGGTCGGTCATTTTGACCGCTCTTCCCCACCCTACCGGACGTCGAACCCCTTGATCCAGGAAGCCCCGGAACAGCAGGATCAAGTATGTTTCTCCCCAACAACGACTGTACACATCGAAGCATTCAACGTGAGACGACTGTCAAGCGGAAGTCCGACTACAAGAACTGCAAGAAGCCCTGAAGAGAACATGACTCGAATTGGCCTCAACGAGATGGAGACGAATTTTAGAAGAAGCTTGGCACTTGCAATTGGCATAGAGTAAGATCACTCACGTTAGAATAGATCAGTTTGTTTGGGTGCCGCATATTGTAATAATATGAAAGGCAAACAAATCGTAAATCAGAGTTGGGCTAATTTTTGAAGATTTCGTTCCAAAGTTTCGGGAAGGGTAAAGCGCATCATATAGATCACTTCTCGGACTACAAGGAAATATTTTTAGATTCTCCTAATCTGCTACTTAAGCTTCAAAAAATAATTTCTTCGGAGGTCTCATTTTCTGGCAAAATCATGAAACACGCAACTGCAGCAAACACACGAAATTTCTTGACGTTTCTGCGAACTGAAACATGATTCTTACTAAACATTACTTATGCAACATAACTAAGTGTGATTTGTTTTGAAAAGCAGCTTTTTGGAATTTTTGGTATTTTTACGTAGTAAGCATAGTAAAAAAGCCGCGGTTTTCATCAATTAAATAATCATAACGGACTTGATAAACGTGGATCATGTAATCTAAAATGTGTACAATGTAGCCAAAGGTTTGCTCTACATAACCAGGGTCAAGCGTGGGGTGCGGCACGCCACACCTGGGGGGTCGTATTGAGGAGTCAAAAGGGGAGGGGGTCGTAGTTGGGTACGTATCCTATTCATAATTAGCATGTCATAACCCCTGTAGACAAAGTGTGAGCGAATTTTGAAGATTCAAGATACTAGGCTACCAGTGGCGTACCGAGGGGAGGTGGGGGGGGGGCGCGCTGGGTCGCGAAAATTTTGAAAGTTACTTAAATGTGTTATAAAAATGTGCGAAGGACTTGTCTTTACTTGTAAATAATTAGAATAATTTTTGAAAATTTTCAAAAATACAAATTAGCCTTGTAAAAGAATTTTTTTCGGGGGCATGGCTGACGCCACGCCCCCTTTTTCCAGATTTTAGGGGTTGGGGACCCGCAAAAATTTTTAGAAGCACCCCAAAAAATTTTTCGGAATTTTTCCTGGCTAACGCCACGCACCTTCATTAGAAAAAAATTTTTGTCGCCCCCCCCCCTCGAGCCGAAATCCTGAGTACGCCACTGTAGGCTATTTAAGTGAAATGGTCAAATTTCAACATGGTTAACTTTGGCTATCCGTTTTTGCACTCAAGACAAAGCACTACTCCTTCTTTCTCCACCTCAGGAATCCCGCTTCAGAAGACAGGCTCCAAACAGTCCTATGGAATCTACAAGTATTAGGCTATCGATTCATATAAATACTGTCCGCTAAAATTTTTTTGATATTGTTAATGGGGTGCGGCACGCCCCCTTAAAAGCTGCGGCGGCCGCACCCCATTAACTATATCAAAAAAAACAATTTTAGCGGACAGTATTTATATGAATCGATAGCCTAACTTGTAGATTCCATAGGACTGTTTGGAGCCTGATTCGTCTTCTTAGCTCTGAGTAATATTTGGTGAAAGCACAACGATCAAAAGCGAAAAATGGGAAAAACGAGATCCTGGTTGGCTTCTAATTCCACAGTTTGGAGGTCTTCTGAAGCGGTTCCCTGAGGTGGACAAAGAGGGAGTAGTGCTATGTCTTGAGTGCAGAAACGGATAGCTATTTCACCTTTGAAACAATGTTAACCATGTTGGAATTTGATCATTTCACTTAGGTAGCCTAGTATCTTGAATCTTCAGAATTCGCTCACACTTTGTCTACAGGGGTTATTTGACATGCTAATCATGGATATGTTGCCCATTATGTTTGACAGGGCCCTCAAGTAATGCTATTCTTAAGTGTATGGTTCAGGGGGGGGGGGTCTTATTAAGACAGCAATCAGGGGGGGGGGTCGTAACCAGCGATCACATGGTGCCGATGTGCCACACACCCCTTGCTTGACCCTGCACATAACAATCACAGTGCTCTTTGAAAACATCAGAATAAAAATCGTTAATATTCAAGAAATATCTGGCGTCGCCCTAGACTGCTCAAAAAGCCATGGCGATAATATCGCGAAGACAGCGTAGATAAGAGAGCAAATATAGCTGTAAGAAAAAGGATGAAATTCTAAATCAAATGGTGCCTAAATCGTCCATGGATTAGTGTTCTGTGAATTTTAGTGAGCGCTGATAAAACGGACAAAACTTTAGGGACAACCTAATACATGTGCACAGAAATTTTGCTTTATATTTATATACAGGGTGTCCCAAAAAAATGTCTAATGCTTGGATGTTAATAACTTTCTCTTCACAAAATCTTTCGGAAAATGTTAACTACCAATCTGTAGAGGTGGCTTCAACTTAGGCCCGTATGCACTAACATTTCTGCGGCGAGGGGAGCGGCGTCCCCCGTTATGAAGGGACCGCGTGCGGACGCCGCTGCGGCTTTTTCATCATTGGGGACGCCGCTCCCCTCGCCGCAGGGATGTTAGTGCATGCGGCCCTTAGATAAATAGTATGTAGTGAATTATCCACCCCTCTTCATTACTGTAGAACCACCACGGTGGAAACATGCAAAATATAGCGCCATCGTGAGAGAGGCAGTTCAGAAAAATCCGATAAAAACTAAAAAATTATGTAAAAAGGTTTTTATGTATTCTGGAAGCGTTACGATAAAGTACGAGTTTCACAATTGAAACAGCGACTCTGATTAACTTAGTGTAGAAGTTTTCAGCTTTTTTAATCCTTTCTTGGATGTAAAATAAGACCCTTAATGACGCAAAATCCCCCTCAAAGTTCCTACCGTAATATAACAGCAATGAAGAGACACGGTAGTCCGCTCCATACTGCAAGTTTGAACTGAAGCCAGCTCTACAAATTGGTAAACTCAGTACAAGAAAGTTAATGACAATTAAAGAGTAGGCACATTTTTTCGACACCCTGCATATAAAAAGAGATTTTCGTCATCATTCTCAAGGGGGATGGGAAGAGATGGATGAACAGAGGAGCGGAAATGAGAGGAAAGTGAATGAGGGAAGGTGAAGAGGACACGGAACAAATACGAGATCGTATCTCAGGTTCCGATCATGAAGTAAATCGCTTCGGCGCATGGAGAAAATATTGATAACTTTGAATTTTTTGCTCATAAACGGTAAAAGAGTCCTTTTTCTTCATGCCAAGATGGAAGTAGGGAAGAAGGGGAGGTTAAAGAAGATTCAAAATTAGAGGAGGCCTTGTTTCCAAATCTTTCTGGTTTCAGCTGTTGCCTTGTGCTTGCGCTAGATATGTGTAGTGGATTTCTTGAGTAAATCAGCGAATGATCTATACCAAGCAAATGAAATTCTAATCCTTATCCTATAACACTACATTTCTATGTTAATCCAAAACTGCGCTGAAGAATTTTTTTTAGGTTTGTCTGCTTTCTTCATCATCATTTTTATGATGACCTTGAATGAACCGCGCATTCATGGAAGTCCTAACTCGGTCAGTTTTTTTTTACCTGTCGCGCAAACAACTATTCAAACCGCTTGAAGGATGGTGATTTATAACATTCCTGGTTTGTTAACATATTGACGACTATGCAAATTTAAAGTCGTCTACCTTTCGGGGGCAAGGCCTTTCACGGATCAGCCAACATTTAAAAAAATCATGTATAATGTCATCTGCAGTACAACTACAACATGCTCTATAGTGTACGGCAAAAAGTGCGCGCGATTTAAAAGCAAGGCTAAAATAAACAAATTGCTTGTTTACAGCGCACACAGATCCATGTGAGACCAAAATTGAGCTGTATACATCGAAAATTATTTGCAAAAGAATAAAGCAAAAAGATTTAAAAACTTATGTAGTACTACAAACAGTTCTGCAAAATTATTCCGTATCCAGACGGTCACCAGAAGGTCTCAGATCGTCTGGAGCATATATCTCTGTCACTAAGTTCCGAATTTTCCTATCATGGACGGAGTCCCGGTCAGAAATCTATCTTTGAGCATGGAGGCATTTTCATATCATTGCCTTTTCTTTGTTTTTGCCTCAATTTCTTCATAAATCGCTGTTGAATATCGCGCTCTAATGCCAAACTTCATGCGTTATTCAGCTCCAGTTTGGATTTGCACTCCTATCTCACGTTTTTTCTTTCAGACTAGTAGTTCTTTCTTGTTTTCATCTTCTCCTAAGTAGGTAAGTCAAAGAGGGCTTCGTTTTCAGAAACCGATTCGAGCCCTGACCTTAGACAAAAAAAATGAGATCGTCATGCGATACGACAACGTTGTTTGCCCAAATTCAATTTGCTACCTTAGGGTTAGAAAGGAGTTTGGGCTGCTTATCATGTAAGCGATTGAAAGTAGTAGCTCATGGTCTGCTGCCTCAACGTAGCAAGAAATGCAGCCGGGTCTGGTAAGATGGTCCAACATCAGTCAGCCCAGTATTGCAGCCCACTTCATGTCTTGTCAAGCCAGTTCCCACCTACCTGGTGATGCGAGTCCTGTACCAGTGTCATGCATGAGACGGTGACAGTCTTTCTTCGCAGAGCGCTCCAGGCTGGCTAATTAGGGTGTGGCGGAAGAATCTATAGTTTTCTTCGACTTTATATAAAACTCTGCAGTTTCCGCACATCGTATTCGTCTGCCGCTTGGGATGTCAGATGTCAGGAACCAGTGAGGGGCGAAGAAATCTCAGATGCAAAAGCAAGACGTCTAAATATCCTTCCGACAACAAACCGTATTCAACAAGATTTTGCGGATTTCTTCGACTTTGTACAAACAGGCACGGAGATTAGCCTCAGTCCACTAGCTCTACATCCCCCTCGGGGCAAACTGCATTATAGGCAGTATCCGGGCAAAAAGTCGGTTTTGAGATTTTTTGCTTACCCGAGCCTATCCGCTATGCTGAATCTGAAGATCAACACTGAAGAACGCCAAAACGGCGAAAAGGGGCTCTAACGCAAGAGGGAAACAGCAAGTAGGCGGGGTCATCCTAACCGTGAACACACTCCCACCTTCCGGAGCAATCTTCTCGATTCCACTAGCCGTCCTGACATCTCCAGCGACCAAGTGCAAACGATTAACTTGACGCCAAAACCGAGAAAATCTCCTCGAAAGCTGGGTGAGTGAATTTGCAAATGGGGAGGACCTCGTCCACCTACTAATTTCCCTTTTGCGCTAGAGCCCTTTTTCGCCGTTTTCGCGTCTTCTAGTGTAGATTCTCGGATTCAGCATATTAGGCCCGGGTAGGCACAAAATTTCAAAATCAAGTTTTTGCCCGAACACCGCCTTTGAATGTAATTGATTGCACGGTATTTTTCTGGACCCATTACCCGTTATCCGGACCCATTTTTTCAAGAGTATTGCTTTTTTTCTTGCACCATATTTGGTCCCAAGTTCACAGGAAGGAGTGTCATCCTTTTGCCACGTGTCAAAAAAATTTGACATGTCATCTACATGATTTACAGGTTTTACCAAGGTTTTGTTGTGCACTGCCTAGCGACATAATTACTCTGTGTTCAAGTCAATAATGACACCATTTTTGAGTAAGAGATTTCAGAAATGAGAACTGTTATGAAAATAACGTCATTCTGTTATAACTGAACAGATTAGATTTGTCCAGAATGAAAAAGTGTGCTAAAACTCCCTTATCCAGCGGCGAAACAAGCAGTAGCGAAATACCGCAAGCCATTATTTATAGTCTTTCCTGAGCAAATTTGCATGCGGAAAGTTTGATGAGGAAGACAAGTTTGAATTATTCCTGAAAGCGACTAGGATGTTTTGTTATAAGTCCTAGACAGCCTTGCTTTTACAGAAAACAGTCGAAAGGCTTTCATGCTCGCAAAGCTTTTTTACTTCACCGGAAATGATTTCGAAAAAACAAGTCAAAATGGACTAAACGTGTCAAATTTTTCCTGAAACGTGGCGGGGAGGCAGTCTTTGTAGAATCTATAGAAAATTATCTCTAGACTAAACAACGTATGTTGTGAGAGCCTTTTGAGAAAATGGGTCCGAATAGCGGAAAAGTACCACAAATGATTGCACTACATAAATTAAAAAAACGAAAGCTCGATCACGTTTCAATAAGGATGGAACTCTCTTCATAACAAGAGTGAAGGTTCCACCACGCAACATCAAAGGAGTCGGAGTAAATTTTGTAGTACAGCCATCCATTAGTCACCTTGAAATGCTTTCTTCTTGAAGTCCATCAGCGAAACCGAAGGAATTGGAACGAGGTGAATGGAGGGAGGAAAACAGGGCTCAGGATAGATTGGAAGAAGAAGCAGTTCATGAGAAATCCTGGTGCACTAAAGGCCAATTATTGGGTGGAACCGATAAAAAAAGACCTTGAATTGCGTTTACTTTCAAACTCACTGACTCGGACCTATGCGCTAACTTTTTTGCTACAGCTCTCCCGACTTTGAGTTGACATCTTAGCAATTAAAAAGACGTTGTGAAGGCACACAAAGGCCATGAATCCGCAGCTCTCACCTAAGGGTGCAAAATGTAGCAGAACACGTATCGAAGAACAAACATAGGTGGGCTTTGTAAAATGATAAGAGAGGACGGTAGATGAACAATAAGTGCGTTGGAATGTATTCCAAAAACTTCAAAACATCAAATGTAAAACCATGGAAGAGCTGGTGTGATAAGTATAATTCAGAATCATCCTGCAATTGCAACCGCGTATCAAGACGTTCATAGATCACGATTGCTCGAAACCTATAGCAATAGTCAAAAATGAGGGCAAGCATGATGAGTGAGGACGGTCATCTAACAGAGAAGGATTCTTTGCTTTTCAAAAAGAAACGCATACCTTTTTAAGGCAAACGCTAACTTCAAATTTGTTTTCCTTATCTGGGAGCATCTTTGGACAGTAATTTATAAGAAACTTTGAAACGAAATTTTTAGTTAATTAATTAACTAGAAGAAAATCATTTATAGAAAACTCTCCTGAATTCAAATGATCATTGGTGACTGTCAAACCTTTTTATAAAAAAACTGCTTGCTACCCTGGAACTTTCAACACTGTTTACTCTAAACATCAATTTCTGACACATAAAACGCTCGTCATACCTGGACGCGCTCCGCAAATAAGGGAAACATATTCGAATTTAGCGTTCAAAGCCTTTCAAAATTGCATGCATCTTAACTGGAAGGTCACTTCGACCAAGGGTTTTTCTCTGGTAAGTAAAGTTAGCAGCGGAAACATGTGCATCAAAAGTAAACTTGTGCTTCGAGAGGTTAGTTCCGAACTGCTTGCTCCGGTAACACAAATGTTTGCCAAAGCTTCGAACTCAACATTATCACTTCGTCGCCCAAGTTTGCTTTCTTCCAAAACGTAAACTTCAAATTGCAGATTGAACTTAAGCACAAGTGTGTTAGAAATTCGAGCGTCTTCTCCGTACCCTTCATCTTTCAAATGTACTGCTACTATTGTAACAATTATGAGTACTGTAAAACGTGGTCGAGTATTTGGTTCTTTGCATCGAGTTTCAAATAACTTTTCGTATCAACTTGTCCCGTAAAGTCAGTTCTGCTTATTTTAGAAGATGTGCTACAAAACAAATGCATTATTCTAAATGATTTAGACGCCTATTTAGAAGAATCATGCATTGAAATAATTTACTATGGTTGTGAAATTTGTCTATATCTTTAACCCTCAACAGCTCTCATACAACAAACTTTTTTACAAAGAAAATCTGGAATAAGGATCAGAGCGCAATTGGAGATATCGTTGAGTTGTGAATTGATATGTGAGGTTGCGCACGACGTCCGACAGCACCTTAATGAGGAGTGACTTCTCAGCAAAATTTGTAAAGTAAAAAATTGCAAAAGTGTAGGCTATCAATCAGTACTATCCAACGAAGCCTTAAGAGACAAGAAAAAAGAATGAAGTTGAATGGGTTCTAACCTTAAAGTTCGTAAAGTAGCATGCGTGGTGTTTAATACGCATATCAATTTAAAAATGACTCGACGATAATAAAGCTGCATTTAGGTCAAGTTACCAGACATGAAGAACACGCCTTCGAGGAGTAATATTGCGATATTGACTATTGTGAAAAGTAACTCTGACAGAGCCCGTTACAAGACAGCAATGGATTCCATGGAGTGTTACGCTCTCCAGAACAACTACACATATTTGCAACTTTATGGCGAAAATTTCAAGACCATATGTGAACAAAACCATGTGATTTTACTTAGTCCTTCGCATTTTGCAAAACTTTGCAAACCTTCTTTTGTGACAGATTCACTTCCAACGCCACTGCATCGTTGCTCATATCCTCAAAATTCACCACTACCGTTGGGTGCTGCTATTAGATGCCGACGTTGGTGTCGTTAACGAGAAACGGCAAGAGCTTTTTTTCACGCTTCTTGATTCCACATTTCTCTTTCTTCCAGAAGATTGGAGGAGTATATCAAAGAAGAAGCAAACATCATTCTTTACGACAGATTTCTCAGTTTTCAAGTGGCGGCAGGTTTATAGCCCTCTTACAATGGAAAAATACTAACAAGGGAAGTACCCCGAGTGGCCGTGGCCTTTCAATATGAGATGCATATTGTCTGAAGCAGTTTCGAACGCTGATTTCAAATCTGCTTTCCGTTTCTGCGGAACGTTCTTCTGAAGAGTTATGGAAGCCTGAAAATCCTATTTTGGAGGCGCTCCTTGAGTTTGAGAGCGCTGCTATGTGCGTCGGTGGTGCAGTGGTGTAATGGTTAGTTGTTGGCATTGAAGGCGAAAGGTCACTGGTTCGAATCCGGTGCAGAGCGAACCGTTTTGCATTATGGATGTGAGTTTAAAAAGCACTCTAATTCGTCTACAGACACTTATAGGCTGTTGATAAAGCGAAATTTGCTTTTCATGGATGGCAATGATCGGCTGCCTTTCTCACATGAGCGGTAGAAGTCGATAGCTCTACTCACCTATATTCAATCATTGAAAAAAATTTTTAAAATAAATTTTGCACGCACCGCATCTTCCGACACTTCCATTCCACTGAAGAGAATGCCATCCGAACCGCACGGGAGGATGCTATCGTCTTCTACCGCCCATGTGGGGTCCTCTTCGCGCTCTTCCACCAAATTTTCTTCCTCCAAATCTATGTCCAATTCATGCCATTCGGCCTCTCGCAGAATAGCAGCAAAACTAGTGATTATTTTCTGTTCCTTTCGTGATGGTGCGCGAGTGATCGGACAGGAGCCGAATTCCTCTACCAGGGTTGTGAGCACAAAGGCAGGAGAGAACATGATTAATGATAATTCGCCTTTTTTGAGCTTTATATGGTAATGAACATGCTTCACCATGTTTGGTCCTGTTTTACTTGTAAAGAAGTCAAGTAGAGTTCAGGGTCTCATTACAAGCAGTTTTGCCAAAAAAAATTTTTCTTAGGTCACATTTGCCTACAACAGTGTCTGTAGACGAATTAGAGTGCTTTTTAAACTTACATTCATAATGCAAAACGGTTCGCTCTGCACCGGATTCGAACCAGTGACCTTTCGCTTTCAATGCCAACAACTAACCATTGCACCACTGCACCACCAACGTACATAGCAGCGCTCTCAAACTCAAGGAGCGCCTCCAAAATAAGATTTTCAGGCTTCCATAACTCTCTTCAGAAGAACGCTCCGCAGAAACGGAAAGCAGATATGAAATCAGCGTTCGAAGCTGCTTCAGACGATATGCATCTCATATTGAAAGGCTACGGCCATTCGGGGTACTTCCCTTGTAAGTGATCGTCTCCAAGGGCAAGCCATGTACTAGCATAGTTTTTTGCGGTATGCTAAAAGCATATCTACGTTTGATATAGGTTTGCGTTTTTGTGTGAGTGTTTACGACGGTTTGTCCGAGGTTTCCACAGCCTAACTTAAGTGCGAGTCTCGCATTTAGTGATAATGGCAAGGTGGGGTAGTGGATAGTGTGTTATAACATTGATCTGAGGCACCTTTTGGTTCTAGCGGAAATATTCTACTAACTCAGACACTCGCGCCGGCTGGCGACCAACGGAAATCGGTTTCCTGCCGGGGGCTTCCCTCCTTTGCCACGGCGCGGGAAGTGAGGGAGTTCAAATAGTACATGTTGAACCTTGTCAGCCCAAGCAAAGCTCGCCCTACAGTCTGTCCCAATTGGGATCAGGCGGAAACGCAAATGTATATTTGTGTGCTCGCACGCTAGTAGATTGCGCTGCATTTGCGCACTGTCCGAGAGAAAAAAGAGATAGAAGAGGATGCAGACAAACAAGCCAAAAATGTAATTCAAATCTTAGCGATGCGGACCTTCAGCCATAACAATTTTGGCCTCATTGGGTTGCGACAGACTGTATTATTTTTTTCTTTTATTTTTATTGATCGCAGCTTATCTACTTCGTTCTTTCTGTTCATTTAATTGTACTTCTAAATAGATGTAATGCATACTGTGCTGTTACATTTGGCCTTTAATTAATGTAGTTTTATCTTTGCTACACCTTTTCCTTTTCAAAGTTGAAGGAAAAGTCAACAGCAAGGTGTTTTCCGTAAATTTGTCTTCATCATGCTTGTCTGGACGGCGGAAAAGAAGTAACATTGCGGAACATGCCGGCTGCGACGCCTTAAGTTTGTTCGCGTAAACTTTTGATTGATAGTGGCCAATCCCAGCAAGTCGTACACATGAACGATCTATGGAAAGCTGGTTCCATATCTGCCTTCATCTGCTTATCGGTCCTTCTACACGATGAAAACGTGTCTCCTCTTTACGAGAAGTGAAGGTGGATGCATAATGCAGTGGTGTGCAAATCCATAGAACGATGCCTCTCTTTTTTGTTTGCAAGTTCGATTCCTTATGCCTTTCATTTTTTTGCAATCCAGCACTAAGATTTGCATTATTAGCACAGATCTAGGATCTTTCCGCAATCCCTCTCATAATTGCTTTCCACCCAATCATATAGGACTTTGTACTTTTAGAACTGAACTCAACACATTTTATACTATACTAGCTGGCTTATCCGGCTCCGCCCGGCCTTGTCCAAAACGAGAAATGTTCCATTTCTATCCCTGTACACCTTTACCTGTGCCCACTTCTACATGCAATTCCCTATTCCCGCTGTGTGAGTAATCAGCATGCTCACTTATCCTCCCCCCCCCCCCCTCCCTGTGCCAATTAACAGTCCAGTAGCTCAAACTTTGCAAAGAATCGATAAAATCCATAAAGGTAACGGGTAATTCTAAAAACTAATGGCGTTATTCGGCTATCCGGGCCCTAAAATGTTTTTGCGGTGGGTCTTGCTTAAACTCGGTATATGGGGGTTATTCAAGCCGCTTATGACGAATATGGTAGTCATTTAGCGTGGCAGCGGGTAAAAATCATGAACCTGCCTGAAACCTTGACAGGGAATTACCTAAAGTGCTGTTTCAAGAATATTGTGCTCAATCCCCACGATAATAGCAATTCGTGTGGTATAAAAGTTTCGCGTAATGCTTTCCTTATAGGACCACTGCCGCGCGCGATACACCCTTCGGAGGCTTTTGCTTAAGCAAAAACAAGGGGAGGGAAATTTGCCGCGTGCGTTACACGTTGGGATAGGTTAAAGGCAGTGTCCGGGCAAAAACTCGATTTTGAGATTTTTTGCTTACCCGGGCCTATTCGCTACGCTGAATCCGAAAATGCACATTGGAGAGCGCGAAAACGGCGAAAAACGGCTCTAACACGGGAGGGTAATCAGCAGGTGGGCGGGGTCCTCCCCACTGTGAATTTACGCTCCCAGCTTCCAGAGCGATCTTCTCAGTTCCGATTTCAAGTCATGCATTCGCACCTGGCCAGTGGAGATCTCAGGGCGATAGAGGAATTGGGAAGATGGCTCCAGAAGCTGGGACTGCGATATTCACAGTAAGGAGGACCCCGCCCACTTTCGATTTTTCTCCTGCGTTAGAGTCCTTTTTTGCCGTTTTCGCGCTTTCCAATGTGGATTTTCGGATTCAGCATAGTGAATAGGCCCGGATAGGCACAAAAACTCAAAATCGACTTTTTGCCCGGACACTGCCTTTAACAGGATGGCGCTGGAGACCGCCATGCAAAACAATCGATATCCCATTTCGTGAATATCTGGGATATCTAAATTGGACCAAAATTGAAAAAATGTCCATTCAAACCCTGCAACTCACCATAACTTCACTAATGCGTTATTACAGCGTGCAAGCATCATAATCATAAGCAGTTTAATTGTGAACCGTTACAGGTAAGGTTTTGAGCAAATCTGGAACTTCGATCCATCTACACCCACCGTAACCCAAGAAAATGCACTATCTTGCGAAATCAGCATGATATTCATGTTCAGCGCGCTAAGTGACCACTCTAGACGAGTTTAGAGCAAATCTATGTTTTCGACCCCATACTAACCACCATAGCTCTATGAAAAGGTTCCAATATGCAGAGAGAGTATGAAATTCGTAGTTAGCATGTCGAATAAGTTCTCTGGACCAAACTCCAGCCGAATTCATGATTTTGACTTCATAACGTACACCTACCGTAACCATACGGGGAGACGTTATGCGGAAAAAGTGTGATATCTGTTTTCAGCACGTAAGATAACCCTTATACTTAAAAGTTTGAGTAAGCTCTACGAAAAAAAAATTTGGTGCCGAATAGCCGAAGAGCTCCAAACTAATATTGTGGTTCGTAATCAGCATGCTCGATTACCCCCTTCTGCCAACTCTCAACCCCGTAGCTCAAACTTTGCAAAAAATCGATAAAATTGATAAAGATCATGGACGATTTCAAAAACTAATATTGTAATCGTTATCAGCATGCTCGATTACCCCACTGTGCAAACTCCCAGCCCCGTAGGTCAAACTTTGCAAAAAATCAACAAAATCGATAAAAGTAATCGATAATCCTGAAAACTAATATTGTATTCGGAATCAGCATGCTTACCCCACTGTGCAAACTCCCAGCCCCGTAGGTGAACTCTGCAAAAAAATCTATAAAAATCGATAAAATCGATATCGATTGATGACGAAAAGTAGCCTATGACACCCGCCGGGGCCCGAAGTGTATGTGTGCCAAGTTTAGTCCGGATCAGTTCAGAAATGGAATTTTCTATTCGGAACATACGTACAGACAGACAGACAGACATACAGACAGACAGACAAACAGACATTCAGCTTTATATATAAGAAGATGCCTACTGCGAATACTATCTCAGACAGTCGACGGCATACCTCCGGAGCAGAAATGGCCGAGCCGCGGGGTTTCCCAAGCTGGGGAATGCCACTCGTGCTCCGGAGCCCTCCCACTTGTGCTCCGGAGCCCTCTCATTTTGTGCTCCGGAGACTTCCCATTTTGTGCTCCGGAGCCCTCCCATTTTGTGCTCAGGAGCCCTCCCATTTTGTGCTCCGGAGACCTCCCATTTTGTGCTCCGGAGCCCTCCCATTTTGTGCTCCGGAGCCCTCCCATTTTGTGCTCCGGAGACCTCCCATTTTGTGCTTCGGAGACCTCCCATTTTGTGCT